AAAGTAAAACATCATGCTGCCATCCAAGTTAAACCCTATAAAACACTTAACGTCACTTCATAACATTTCCCGTGGTTTAGTCTTCTAGACCTAAGAAATCAATTATAACAGCGGAATATTTTAAGTTGATTTGTGTTTTTTGAATATTTTAGTTTGATCTACCAGTGAAAGAAAACTCAAATAAGAAATGAAGAGGGCTAGAATATTGCAGCTTAGTTGTTTGTTGCAAAGCCCAATGATTTGTTTCATTCTTTATTAAGATCATGCAACATATATCAAACACTGTCTTTTCAATGAAATAACCTTTTCTCTTACATTTCACTTAGAAATCACCCTTACTCTACTGCAGCACAATGTGTTAGGCAGTAAAAACATAAAAAAGTCACACTAAAGCTCTAGTCGCATATTTTACTTTATGAAACAACTTTGGGTTGTGCGTCTTTCAGAATCTATTTACCTGTGGCAGAAGTGTTTATTTCATTAAAACTATTTTTGTCTGTACAGTGCGGTCCTTACTGTACGAATTCATTCAGCCACAGGAGTCCACAGACCTGCGCTATTAAACATATTATGTGAACATACATTGGGCCACTATATTAGGAGTGACCCACTCTGGCCCCCAGGAGCAACAGTATACCAGGTCTTGCAGGACATCCATTCTTAAATCATCCATTTGTACATGTGTGGAACATGAGAGATTTAATCAATTTAGTCAATCTATTGAATTAAAACAAGCTAACTGTGGCTCTTGAGCTCTACGGCTTGATGGAATTTTCCTTGAAAATATCTCAATAACTATTTATTGCACAAATCACCTGCTTCAGAGGACAAGACAAAAAAATGCCGCAACTGATAAGAAATAGATTTAAAGGTAATCCATAAAACTTGTGGCAGTCCATGACCAGAGGTGGGAATCCTGCACTACGCATGGCTTTCTTATTTTAGACTTTTCATTCACAAGTAAACCACTGACCAAATGATTTTCACTTGGACTTACTTTCCGTTTCTTTTCTTT